AAAAAAAAGTAAAAAAAAAAAAAAAAAAAAAAAAAAAATTACAAATAAAAAAAAAAAATGCCTGGAGAATTACAAAAAAAAATAGAAAAAAAAAAAAAAGAAAAAAAAAAAAAGAAAAAAAAAAAAAAAAAAAAAAAAAAAAATAAAAAAGAACATCAATTAATCGACCATCTGACCCAGGTAGATTTAAGAGACAATAACTTTATCAGACCACGCTCCAGTTACTATGAAAATGGAATGGGGGAGAAGGAAAAGCGGAGGGCTGGGATGGAAATTGAATGAGACACTTTTAGTGGAAAGGGAAATAGCTCAGAAAATAGGGGAGGAGATCGAACGCTTTTTTAAGGAGAATGAGACAGGGGAGGTGTCAACAGCCACAGTGTGGGAGGCTCACAAAGCTTATATAAGAGGAATATTAATGGCGATTGGGGCTAGAAAGAAAAAAAGAAAGAAGGGAGAAAATGAATGAGCTCTTAGAAGAAATAGATAAATTAGAACAAATACATAAGAATAGAATAACAAAAGAAATAGAGCTGAAGTTAAAAAAACAGAAGGAAGAACTGAAAGAAATGATAGAAGAGGAGAGGAGAAAAGTATATAATAGAGTTCTAAGTGAGAGATATAGATGGGGAGAAAGACCTGGAAAGTATCTGATGAGAGCCCTGAGGAAAAAGAAAAATAGAAATTATATAGAAAAAATAAAAGATGCTAAAGGAAACATGAAACACTCAAATAAAGATATCACCAAAGCCTTCATAGAATATTACAGGAAACTGTACAATATAAGCCCCTCGGAAAGTTCAGAAACTATAGACAGTGAGAAAAACCAGAAAAGAAAAAGAAATATTTGGAAATGGCTAGGTTATTAAAATTAAGTGAGGACCAACTAAACTCCCTAGATGCAGATATCTCACAGGAAGAAATAAAACTAGCATTAAAGGGGACAGTGTCGGGGAAAAGCCCAGGCCCAGATGGTTATACAGTGAGATACTATAAAAAATTCAGTGAAATCTTAGTACCAAAACTCAAAAACTACATGAATGCACTAGTGGAGAGATGGAAGTAAGAAGAGAATCATTACAAGCCCAACTCGTGCTCATTCAGAAAGAGGGAAAAGATCCCCCTCTCAGTGTTTCTTAGCTATAGACCTATTTCACTACTGAACACAGACACTAAGTTGTACGCAAAGGTCCTAGCAAACAGATTGAAAGAGCTAATGCCTGGATGGATACATGAGGATCAGGTGGTTTGTTCCAGGGAGGGAAGGAAAAGATAATGGGGTACGATCATTGATGCTAATCCAAAAGAGTAAAAAGGGAAAAGAACCGGCGGTACTACTGTCTATAGATGCTGAAAAAGCGTTTGATAGGGTAAATTGGAGATTCATGATGGATACTCTGGAAGCTTTGGGAATCGGGCCTAGGATGAGAGAATGGATAGGAAAGCTGTACAGATACCCCCTCGGTGGTCATTGGGGTAAATGGGGAGAGGTCAGAACCCATTGAGATGTCAAACGGAACAAGACAGGGATGCCCATTATCCCCATTGCTGTATGTTATATCTCTAGAACCTCTACTATCAACAATAAGACTGAATAGAGACGTAAAGGGAATCCGAATAGGAGATACGGAACATAAAGTTGCTGCCTTCGCAGACGACTTGTTGTTCTATGTAGGAAACCCCAGGATATAACACTTCCAAACTTAATGAAGTCACTAAAGGAGTACGGAGAACTATCAAATCTAAAGATAAATCCAACAAAAACGGAGATTCTAAATATAAACATCTTAAAAAACGAAAAAGAAAGGATACAAAAAGAATTTCCCTTTAAATGGAAAGATAGAGATATAAAATAACTAGGAGTAAAACTCACAGCCTCACAAAAACATCTATATAAACTAAAAAACTATATTACACTGATAAATGAGATTAGAGATGAATTAAAAAGATTGGAGGGAGGAACCCCCGACATGGATGGGCCGTATTAATCTGGTAAAAATGGTAATAGTACCAAAAATCATATATAGATATCAAATGATCCCAATTAAACTCCCAGAGATTTTCTTTAAAATAATTAAGAAATTGATAACAAGATACATATGGAGGAATAAAAAACCAAGACTGTCATACGAACTGCTAAGTAGGAGGAAAGAAAGAGGGGGTTTAGGGCTCCCAGACTTTAAAGAATATTACAAAGCGGTAATACTGGCAAGAACCATAGATTGGATATTTAATAATAAAAAAAGCTGGGTTGAGAATAGAGAATGAACTCAGCGGAATAGACTTGGGAAGAATGATATGGGTACCAACACAGTATAGGGGTTTAAATGACAATGTAAATACATACACTTTGAATGTTTTAAAGACTTGGGATAACTTACACAGAAGTATGAAATGGACTTTTAATTCTACAACACTGATTCCACTAAAAAATACAGAGTTTTTCCCCCCAGGTAGAGAAGAAATAGGAGGGAAGTGGTTTAAAAAAGATAAGGTGCAATTAGGAGATATCTTGGTGGGAGATGAAATAGGAGCATATGGCGAATTGAAAAAAAAAGAGGGAGAGAGATTTTCACTAAATTAGACGAATGGCGGTATTTCCAATGAGGTGTTTTGTCGGAAGTTTGCCAAGACCTTTAAGGACAAGAGACAATTGGAACTTGTTTGAAAAGACATTGGGAACACAAGGTGATGGGAAACACGGGATTGCTAGAATTTATAAAATACTCACTGAACTAGACACAAACACGAAACCAACATATTTAACAAAATGGGAAATGGATATGGGAGTTGCGATAGATGAGGAAAAGCAGAGGAGAAATGTATAGATTAACTCACGAAAACGTCTCTATGAGAGAAGTAGAAATGAACTATAAGTGTTTGACAAGATGGCACATTTCACCAGTAGTAGAAAATAAGATGTGTGGAGAGAGTACACCGCTGTGTTGGTGGAGGGGATGTGGAGAAATAGGCACAATATACCATTTATGGTGGGGATGCCCAAAAATCCAGATATTCTGGACAACAATAATCCACTTAATAAGAAAATTGACAGAAATAGATATAAAATCTAGATCCAGAAGTATGTATTTTGCACATCACGGATATATAACGGTAAATAAATATAAAAAATCAGGGATATGGAACTATATAAATGCTGCAAAAGCCCTGATACCCAAGTTCTGGAGGCAAATAGAGGCACCAAAGGAAGAGGACTGGATTGAAAGAGTTGAGCAGATTAAAAAGATGGAAAGGCTGTGCCATACCCAAGAAGATAAGATGGAGGTTTATCATGGGAAATGGGAGAACTGGGAAAAAGCCAGATTATATACGAGGTGTAGGAAAGAATAAAGAATAACAACAGAAAAATTCCACTTGCTGATATAAGAAGACGTAGAGAAAAGATAGAATAGGCAGAGGGGACATAGGGTGGGGGTGGAGAAGGGGGGAAAAGGTTGCATAGAGTATATAAAGTAGAAAAAAAAAATGTTGGTTAAATATAATATTATAGAAATATATTTTATATATATATATATATTTATATTGTGATGATGAAATGTAATTGAAATGGAAAATTAATAAATATTTGAATTATAAAAAAACAAAAAAGTATAAAACATAAAAAAAAAAAAAAAAAAAAAAAAAAAAAAAAAAAGGAACAGGGAGCAGGAACAGGATACAGGGCCCAGGAAAAACACACACCAAGGCAGAGTCTGCAGGTCTGGCCATCCTTAAATACACCAGTATAATCAGTTTCCAGGTGTTTGACTGGCTGTCAAGGTTGAGTCTCTGATTACTGGGAGCACCCGCTGGCCAGCCTTGGTACTGCAGCTCATAAGGCAGGTGAGTCCCACCATTGCTGGCCAGTCCATTCCTGACAGTACCCCCCCCCCCTCAAGGAGCGGCCTCAGGACGCTCCAAACAGTCCTAGCTGGCAAAATGTTCCACCGCCCGGGTGTCTGGTAATTGGCGGGGGATATCAAAGACTGGCACACCGGGCAGGACTCCGGGCAGAGGCACACCGGGCAGAGGCACACCAGGCTGGACTCCGGGCAGAGGCACACCGGGCTGGACTCCGGGCAGAGGCACACCGTGGCTGGACTCCGGGCAGAGGCACACCGGGCTGGACTCCGGGCAGAGGGACACACCGGGCTGGACTCCGGGCAGAGGCACACCGGGCTGGACTCCGGGCAGAGGCACACCGGGCTGGGACTCCGGGCAGAGGCACACACCGGGCTGGACTCCGGGCAGAGGCACACCGGGCTGGACTCCGGGCAGAGGCACACCGGGCTGGACTCCGGGCAGAGGCACATCGGATTACCAGGCGGAGCAGCAGGCAGCGGGCCACCAGGTGGAGCAGCAGGCAGCGGGCCACCAGGCGGAGCAGCAGGCAGCGGGCCACCAGGCAGAGCAGCAGGCAGCGGGCCACCAGGCAGAGCAGCAGGCAGCGGGCCACCAGGCAGAGCAGCAGGCAGCGGGCCACCAGGCAGGAGCAGCAGGCAGCAGCGGGCCACCAGGCGGGATGCAGCGGGCAGCGGGCCACCAGGCGGAGCATCGGGGCACCGGGCCACCAGGCCGGCGGGGCGGGCCCGGTGCCGGGCCCCCAGGCGGAGCGACAGGTCTCGGGCCCCCAGGCGGAGCAGCGGACGCCGGACCCCAGGCGGAGCGACAGGTCTCGGGCCCCCAGGCGGAGCGACGGGCGCCGGACCCCCAGGCGGAGCGACAGGTCACTCGGGCCCCCAGGCGGAGCGACAGGTCTCGGGCCCCCAGGCGGAGCGACAGGTCTCTCGGCCCCCAGGCGGAGCGGCGGGCGCCGGACCCCCAGGCGGAGCGACAGGTCCTCGGGCCCCCAGGCGGAGCGGTGGGTGGGCGCCGGACCCCCAGGCGGAGCGACAGGTCTCGGGCCCCCAGGCGGAGCGGCGGGCGGCGGGCGCCGGACTCCCAGGCGGAGCGACAGGTCTCGGCCCCCAGGCGGAGACAGCGGCGGACCCCCAGGCGGAGCGGCGGGCGCCGGACCCCCAGGCGGAGCGCCGGGCCCCGGGCCCCCAGGCGGAGCGGCGGGCGCCGGGCCCCCAGGCGGAGCGGCGGGCGCCGGGCCCCAGGCGGAGCGACAGGTCTCGGGCCCCCAGGCGGAGCGGCGGGCACCGAGTCACCAGGCACGACAGTGGGCTCCGAGTCAACTGGCATGACCGCTGGCACTGGGTCAGACATTGGATCGTCTGGCTGGACAGCGGGCATCGGGTCACCAGGCATCAGGTCATTTGGCTCGACAGCGGGCACTGCGTCATCTGGCAAGGCAGTGGGCTCCGAGTCAACTGGTATGACCCGCGGGCACTGGGTCAGACATTGGATCGTCTGGCTGGACAGCGGGCATCGGGTCACCAGGCATCAGGTCATTTGGCTTGCCAGCGGGCACCGCGTCATCTGGCAAGGCAGTGTGCACCGGGTCACCAGGCATTGGATCGTCTGGCTCGACAGCGGGCATCGGGTCACCAGGTATGACAGCGGGCACTGGGTCACCAGGCATCAGGTCATTTGGCTCGCCAGCGGGCACCGCGTCATCTGGCAAGGCAGTGGGCACGAGTCACCAGGTACGACAGCGGGCTCTGAGTCAATTGGCATGACCGCTGGCACTGGGTCAGACATTGGATCGTCTGGCTGGACAGCGGGCATCGGGTCACCAGGTATGACAGCGCGGGCACTGGGTCACCAGGCATCAGGTCATTTGGCTCGCCAGCGGGCACCGCGTCATCTGGCAAGGCAGTGGGCACCGAGTCACCAGGTACGACAGCGGGCTCTGAGTCAATTGGCACGACAGCGGGGCACCGGATCATCTGGATCAACAGCGGGCATCGAGTCAACTGGCCTAATAGGATCATCAGGCTGGATCAGTTCATCATGCTGGGTAGAGGCATCAGGCTGAGTAGAGGCATCAGCTGAGTAGAGGCATCAGGCTGAGTAGAGGCATCAGGCTGAGTAGAGGCATCAGGCTGAAGAGAGGCATCAGGCTGAAGAGAGGCATCAGGCTGAAGAGAGGCATCAGGCTGAAGAGAGGCATCAGGCTGGGTACAGGCATCAGGTTGAAGTGCGGGTGCCGAGGCACCAGGCTGAACCACGAAAGGCAGGTTCTCAGACGGCAGGCTCACCGGTTTGGATACTGGCAGGATGGTATTGGTTGGAAAGAATTTCGCTTTTTTCTGGTTTTAACTACTGGAGCACTGCAAGTAAACGCAGGTCTGCAAATGAATGGAGCAGCTGGAGACAGAGAAGAGCTGGAGGATGGAACAGGGGAGGGAACAGTTTGCTACAGAGGGCTTTTTTACAGGGTTAAAGGCAGGATAGGTGCAGCGAGTGGGAACAGGGTACTGACATGCGGTAGATAGCAGGGCAGGAGGAGCTGTTGGGAATGCAGGAATAGAGCTTTGAGGAAATAGATTAGAAGCAGGACTGGGTTTTTGTAGGCTGACTGAGGCTGGGTGCAACAAATCTGTCCATGTCTGCAGTATGGGTTGAACAAAGCTGAGCTTACACAAAGCCTGTCTGACCAAAGACTGCACTGCGTTTATACAATCTCTTAGTACCTGTGGTGAACATGCAGCATAATGCTCCAAGAAGCAATCCACATCATCCTCTAATAACCATACCAGGGACTCTACCTGGTCGGCACTAAATGGCGGCAAAAATTCATCCCTGCATTCGGGGGTACCAGATGAAACCAACTCCGCACAAATCTGAATCAATGGCTGCACCTCAGAGAATTCTGTGCCCTGATCTACTAGAACATGAGCGAGCCGTATACATTCTAGCAGTTCATCCCTGGGATACTCCTTCAGAGTTTGATAAGCATACTCTCTGTCATCAAACACTAGCAGATATAAATACACAACCTCATCAAGATCCATCCTTCCCATCAACAAACCAAGATGGCTTCCCTGTGCAGCCACTTCTGGTCAGGATTGGCCTTGGTGTAATGTCAGGGCTCCGGGGTATGACCAGAGGTGTGTGACTGACGCAGGGAAACGCAGGCTTCAGATAGGTTATAAACAATATAATTTATTAACACTAACAATACAAACATAAACGCAGTGCAATACTAAAACATAACACAGTGCAAACGAACCAAACCACCCACAGAGAACAGTACATACAATGCAAGCGTCGTCAGGCAGGCCGGGTCAATATCAATCGGGCAGGTAGGTACAGGGGGAGCAAGCGGAGACTGGTCGGGGTCACAAGCCAGGTTCAGCAGGTAGCGGGCAGCGTGGTACAGAGGGTCAGGCAGAGGAGAATGGTCAGACAAGCCAGGGATCAGGAGCAGGAGAATGGTCAGACTAAGCCAGGGATCAGAGCAGGGTCAGCAACGAATCAGACAGGAACAGGAACAGGGAGCAGGAACAGGATACAGGGCCCAGGAAAAACACACACCAAGGCAGAGTCTGCAGGTCTGGCCATCCCTTAAATACACCAGTATAATCAGTTCCAGGTGTTTGACTGGCTGCAAGGTTGAGTCTCTGATTGCTGGGAGCACCCGCTGGCCAGCCCTGGTACTGCAGCTCATAAGGCAGGTGAGTCCCACCATTGCTGGCCAGTCCATTCCTGACAATCAGCTCCTTGCACAGATTGAAAGAGCTGCAAGGGCTGGGACAGTGATAATAATGGGGGATGTTAACTACCAGGAAATTGACTGGAGTGATGTTACTGCAGGAACAGATAAAGGGCAAAAATGTTTTAAACCTACTACAGGACAATTTTATGGTACAGGTCATAAAGGCCCCAACTAGGAATGATGCTCTGCTGGACCTGGTAATCTCAAATCATGCAAAGCTTATTACAAATGCCCATATAAAACAACATCTGGGTAGCAGTGACCATAACATGATTTCACACATACCGGAAAAATAAAAATGCTCAATATTAAGAGAGCTAATTTTCCAAGGTTGAGAGCTGCTCTCCAAGACTTAGACTGGAATGGAATATTGGCATCAACGTTTTTCTCCCATAGGACGTCCTCTGATGGACAGCATCATTCAACTGGCTTCTTCTCAGCCTAGGTTATCCTAAATCTGCTTGTGCCTGTGACTGGACGGTGAAAGGAAAAGCAGCACAATGATGAGCTCATCTCTCTGTCATTCTGTCTTACCTTCCTATCAGCATGCTTCTTGACAACAAATGGATGCATTGGCTTCTTGTGCTGCGTCCACCTCTCACACTCCAGCTCTGATGTACATGGGCTGCAAGAGGCTGATAGCCAGATTCATGCATTTACACTACTTGCATTTAAAATACACTGCTCAAAAAAACTAAAAGAACACTTTGAAAACACATTTGATCTCGATGGCGAAATATTTAATGCTGGATATTTATACTGATATAGACTGGGTAATGTGTTAGGAACGAACGGATGCCCCATCATTTGATGAAAATTATCAATCTACAGAGGACTGAGTTCAAAGACACCCCGAAAATCAAAGTGAAAAAAATGATGTAGCAGGCTAGTCCATTTTGCTGAAATTTCATTGCAGCAACTGAGAATGGTACTCAGTAGCTTGCATGGCCCCCACGTGCTTGTATGCATGCCTGATAATGTCGGGGTATGCTCCTAAAGAGGGTGCATTCAAGGGGTGCACGCAGATCTGCAACCATGCCATTACTATATTTTCTGTTTTTACTATTCCTTTTCACTAAAATTATCAATTTTTAATATTTCTGGATTTAAGGTGTTATCCGTTAAATTGTAAAAAAGGACTTTATATAAAAATTTTAGTGTAGACCTATAATCACTTGAGGCCAATAAAAGAGTTAGTAAACTCAGAAAGCTGAGCAACAAAAAGGCAGGCAGGGGGCAAAGGACCAATCGCCAGTATATTCTATGGTCTCCCGCTAATCTTTTCCCCTTTACTGTCTTACCATGCCTTGTTCTGTAATGTGTCCCTGTCTGGAAGCAGTGGGGTTTGGCTTCTTTATGTCAGAGCTTCCTGTAAGGAGAACAGTGAGAAGCACAGAGGAGACATAACCGTTCCATTCCAGTAATCAGAGGCAGCAGTGCCTGAGATCTCATAATACAGATATACAGCTATGGGGCTATAGTACAGAAGTGTCTAAGCAGGGCCATGGATAAGGGGGTACCACCAGTCCTCCTGTACAGGGCCCAGGCCAGCAGGGGGGCCCAGGCAGCTGGCTGAAACAAATGTGGGCAGGGAGGGTGATTGGCATGATGGGGGGGATTAGTGGAACCAATCCCTCTATGCAGTGGCGTCCCTAGGCAGGTGTGGGGGGTGCGCGACACACCGGATGACACCTATCGCATGTGGTAACACCAGACCCGCTCCACGAAAAAGGTAAGTTGGTGTCACCCAGTGCAGTAACACTGGGTGACACCCCTTCTGACGATCCCCGCAGGATGGATTGGATCTGCGGATTGAGCATAATGGATCGAAAAACTTTAACATCCTAAAGAGAACTTCAAAAGTCATTTTCAAAACGTTTATCCCCTTTCTCAGCTCATTAGAAGGGCTTCGTCCTGGCAACTTTCCAGTGTCAGCAGGGCACCAAGGCTCCATTCAGGTGCAGGTTCCTGCTCATTTTTGTGCATTGTATTTTGAGCAGCCCTTTCATTGCAGTCGGCTGCCCTATGCATGAAAATGGCACTAAAGAAGTGCATGACCCTTTTTAAAAAAAAAATCACGCTGCACCAAAAAGAATGATACATTGGTGCCATGCATTTTGGCGAGCAATGTCGTACATGCGTTATCTGGGGGTGTTAAGGGGGCATTAAGAGGTCATGGCACCGCTGCGTGCCTCCAAGAAGGGACATGTGGGTTTTTTGTGCACTTTGAGCACATGCATGATTTTGTGCACGCACAAGTGTGAACCCAGCCTAAGTAAAGTGCTAGTTTCTGTACAATTCCACATTCTGGACTTTGCTCTGATCTCCAGGAGGAAGCTACAGAGTAGTGTGGGGGCAGCAACAAGGGACATCAAGGTTCCTTGCTTGATTAACCCTTTCCCTGCCCCCGCCCTAGCAGTATTGAGGTATGACCGTAAAAAGAATAAAACAAAGCAATAGGGTTTGCAGGTTTGTTCTCTGGTAATCCTGCACCTTGACAGCTAGCATGTGGAACTGATCCAAGTGGCTGTACAGCTGCCTAGTCAATTCTACACACCTTTTGTTGTGTCAGCAGTAGCAAGACCCACTTGCTCTCTCAAGAGTTTGGACCAGAGACCTTAGAGTGTTACTAAACCCACAACAGTACAATAAGTCTGTATATGCAGTAAAGCGTGCTTGTTATACTCACTGTGGAACCTAAGGGGTTAATCCTCTGCATTATGTAAAAATGATGTTTGATCCTGACTTCTCAATTCCTTCCAGTGCCCTCCTCTTAGCTCCTGATAAGACATATCGTGTGGAGACACTCTACACATGCTCAGTTTGGTGTATTATTAAAGAGGTTTTTTTTTTTTTTCCTTGGGAGTATGCATGTGATCAGCACAGGGCCAATCAGCACTGTCCAGACAGAGGGTCTGGTTCTGCATCCTCCTAAAGCAGAAAGAAAAACTCCTCCTACAAGCTTTAACCAGTGCTCTGCTGAAGTCACAAGACTGCTCTAACTGCTGATGAGAAAAGGTATTTAGCAGTTTATATTTACTAAAATACATGCACTCCCATGTTCTGTGTACTGTGAGTGACCAGATATAGTGAATGCAGGGTCCTGGGTTTAGTAAAACTTTAAGGTATGCTCTGCTGGACACTGATAGAAGTCATAAGACTGCTGTAACTGCTGATGAGAATGTATTTAGCAGTTTATATTTACTAAAATAATTGCATTGCCATGTTTCGTGTGCTGTGAGAGACCAGATATAGTGAATGCAGGGTCCTGGGTTTAGATGGAGAGCATATTGAAGGATATCAGGAAAAT